ATTCTTGATCTCAGGCACACAGTCCCTCCAAACCTTGCTTCTAGTCTGAGTCTGAGCCTGAACCAGAGCCTGAGGAGTCTGAATCAGAGCCTGAGTCAGAGCCTGACCCTGATCCTGAAGCCCTACTGCGTGCCGGAGAGCCTCGCTGTGATGGGGATCGGCTTGGACTCCGCTTGTTTGATTTGGCCGATCTGCTCGATGCAGCTGACTTCGCAGATCTGTAATTTACATTTTTTGGATCTGTATTTTTTTTTCTTACAATACAGGAGATATATAAATAAATGAAATAACAACAAAAGGAAAGACAATAGAAAGAAAAAAAGAAGAATAGAGCTGTTTATCAACCACAAACATATCAGTATTACCACCTTGCCCTATCTTAAAGATGAAACAGGTCTCTAGTGTACCAGGAAAACTTCAACAAGGATATATAACATCCTCAAGCATGTAATAATGTCTGATTTTCCTGTAATAACTAGAGTGAAGAGGAAATACCCAAAGCCCTTGTTTCTCTTTGGTATGGTCTGAGTGGTAATGCCTCTGCTGTATATTTGAAGGCATATAGATTGTCTAAATACCACTGTACCTGCATCTATGCATGTTACAGATATTTCTGTTCCAAAAACAGTACAGTTCCTGTATTGTAAGCTTGTTGTTACCCAATTAATGGAGTCTCTATAAAAGTTTGCATGAGCCAATTAAAAAGGTAGACATGCACAGACTCCAGCTAAATGCTGCCTGAAAATGCATTGAGAAAAAATGACAAAATGTTTCTATTTATGCTAAATATGTAAACTTCTACACTCCCACCTATGAACCCACATTAAAAAAACTTGCATGGCCCATTTTCTATTTATCTAACCTTTATCTAACAAACAAAAAATAAGAACCTTATGATCTTGATAGAAAAAAAGCAAAATAAAGCAAAGAACCTTACCTTTCAGACCTTGCAGGGGATGCACTTGGGGACCTTGAAGGTGAGCGGGATGGGGAGCGAGTTTTGGACTTGGAGCGAGAGCGAGACCTGGATCCTCTGGATCCTCTGGACCCTGAGGCAGAGCGAGAGCGAGACCTGCAAATGCACAAGGAAGAAATAACATGATGAGTTTAAATGTTCGTGGAATTTGAAGTCACAGGAGTCACCTTTGCAAATATTAATTTACAGTAATATCAAATTCATTATGCAGTTTGTATCTGTAGTTGAAAATATGAGTACATTACACAAAAATTTAGCCATTATAAGACATGACAGAGGGACAGGGAGAGAGAATGTGTACAAATGAAAAGAATGGAAAAGAAAGGAAAGAAAGAAAGAAAATCAAAGGGTATGATGAGTACATTAACCCACTGCTTCCTGGTACATGAACTGCCCAATATAGTTTTGTTTAGTGAACAGTGTAGTCTATTCACAGAAATGGCTCTACAAGTGCTCAGTTCACAAAAAGTCAATTATTAGGCCTGCATGATCTAACCTGATTTCCCCATTCCTTAAATTTTGGGTAAAAATGTTTTTTGAATGCTACTGACATGGATGTTATTATTATTATTGATTTTGATTATTATGTCCTTAAAGTACTAATAGCAATAGCAAAAAATTAAAACAAATCTTTCCAAATATCAAGGAAAAGAAAATGGTTGAGATAGGTAGAACTAGTAATGGACCCCTTGATGAATGTCCAAACACAACAAATGAACTAAAATCAGTGGACATGACATATACATACATGTTATCTCTAACGGCAATGAGCTAAGAAGAACTGAATGCAGCTTTAAACTGCAAACAGAAAAGGTTGTGCAATATGAAATGCAACAAATGGGTTGAAGACAAGTACTTACCTTGACTTTGACTTGCTCCTTGACCTACTTCTTGACTTGCTTCTTGAACCACTGCGGGATCTGCTGCGTGACTGACTTCTGGACTTGCTGCGAGATTTGCTGCGTGACTTGCTTCTGGAACTGCTTCTTGACTGGCTTCGTGAACGTGAACCTGACCGGCTCCTCGAGCGTGAGCCCGATCGACTCCCTTGCTCATCCTTATCCATCATTGGAGTGCCTGACCTTGAGCGATCACTGCCCTCATCATCAGACCCCTTGGCACTACCTGCATTTCCATACCAAGTATTTGATTTAATATATTATAAAAAAAAGGACTTTTACAATAAAAACTGATGGTATGTTTTAGATACTGGATAAATGACATGTTCAAAATGTGAAATTCTACCTCTAAATACACTACTGCATTCGGGTGGCAATAACTAACATAACTCATCAAAAGGTTTCTTCATTATTTTGGTGCTTTATATCAAAGAGGAAATGGAGATTAATCAATCCACAATACCTTTATCATTCTCTTCCACCTCCATCTCTTCCTCCTCTTCCTCTTCCTCTTCTTCTTCTTCCTCATCTTCACCAGGTGGTTCCAGCATTCGTTCCCTAAACCGCTGTGTCTTGTGTTCCTGCGCAATGAGAGGACGATGACGCACCACAAGCCTAGAGTTGTTAGGCTGCTGACCTTGCTTCAGTCGACGTTTGCTCAATCGCACTCTGTTACGGGAAAGATTTACTTTCAATATTTCTCAGCCATCAATATACTCTGAATTGTTAGTGTCATTACAATAATTACTTTGACCATTATTCTAATGAGTTTTGGTCAGATTTAAAAGTATTAGTACATATTGAAGAAACTGGTACTATCTTCTATGTACATTATATAAATCTATCAACATCTCCTTCTATGCCATATCAAAATTCTTTACAAAAGTACAAAATATCACAAAAACAATCATTACTGCTTTTTCTTTCTTTCTATTTTTTACTTCCATAATTAGATCTGATAAAATAAAAAAATATATATGAAATCAGAGCGAAGAATAATGAACCAACCTTGTTTCAAGCTCGTTGTAGTAAACCCCATCATCACGAAGTACAAAGAAGTAATTCTCTTCGTAGCCCTTTGAGGCCTTGTTCTTAACGTTCCAGTTGTACTCTCTTGCCATCAGGTAGTCATACTCATCTTCATCCATGTAGTCAACATTTTCTTCAGCATCTCGTTTTCTCTTCTTTAGGGTCTCATCAGTTGGCAGGAAGTAGGCCACAAACTGTTCTCCTGATTCATCCATCACACCCCTAGTATGAAAAAAAGTGTGTAACAAGTCAATGTTTAAATCAAGGCATAAAAATACAATATAATTGAAGTCTGACTCTATTGACTCTTAATAGCCTGAATTCATTTTCCCAGAAATATATAAGGTAAAAACTATTTGGTTGGGAGTGAGTGGTCTTCACTGATAAATAATAGTGAAGTCACAGATAACTGCAAGTTCAATTAATTCTTTGTTTATATAAATCATTAGCGAATTTTGTATAAATTTCCTCTTATTCTACTTGCCAAACTAAAGCACAGAATTAATAAACTGCTGGACGTTTGGTAACCACATCTTACCTAATCATTGCTTGTGACATTTCCTCAAGCTGGGCTGGCATTGGTCTACCCACAGGAGCAGGGTCAGAGTCGAAAATGACCTGGGCACATGGGTACTTCCAAAGGCTGAAATCTGGGAATACTGGTAATTCTTCCACAGCTGTGACCCCTGGCTTGCTGTAGTGGTGCTTGAGAGGCTCTTTAACTTCAAGGAAGGTCTTCTCAATTGCTCTCAGCTGACTCTCTCTGTCAGTGTATACATTCTCATCCTGTAAGTGGTAAATTTTTATTAGACTAAGTTCCCTTGATAAAGAAATATGCCATTTATAGATATAAATAGATTGTGTATGTGTATGTATATATATATATATATATATATATATATATATATATATATATTATATAGATAGATAGACATAGATAGTTAGAGAGATAAATAGATGGATAAATATAGAATCAAGCAATTCATCACAAAGTAACCAAATATAAAAGTTAGTTAAGAATAATACATTCTGCTACTTTTCAAATGATAAATTTAATATGATTAGAAATATATTTTAATATGATTCAAATATATTCATATACATTAGTTTCATATGCATATACATACAGTAGCCTTTCTCCTGCGAGCTGCAAAACCGACTGTAGCTTCAATTTTCTCCATTGTCTGAGGCTGGAATCTTGTTGGCTCAGTGGAGATGTACTCTGTCCTTCGCAACCATGACACATTGACATGGTGATGGCGAGAACGTTTAGCATCCTGAAGTTTGGAAATGCCATTAATAATAATAATAATAATAATAATAATAATAATAATAATAATAATAATGATAACGATAACGATAATAATAACAACAACAACAACAACAACAACAAACAAATTTGTATTACATTATACTAGTAACTCTCACTGCCTCAAGGATTCCCTCCTAAAAGCTCAAGTATTAACGAATTAGGAATTCCAAAATCACTATTCCCATCCCCCTAGTCTCACCTGTGGAGTGAGAATGTCATCTTCCAGCAACCTCTCATCTGTGGGATGCAGTTGTGCATTGGACTGAGGCGTGTAAGCTTCTGGGTTAATCAGGTCAATTGTAACTCCAAGATCGTGTTCAGTGAGAACTTCATAGCGATAATTCTTCTCTAAGGAGGTTTGTTTATACCGCACATACCTGTAAGTAAAGGACAAATTTCAGCAAAAATCTCCAGAATAATATTTGATCAAACTATACAAAATTTCCAATCCAGACTTAAATTTATATCAGTGCTGGGTTCTTACTAAAAACTAAATGTACTTACCTATTAGAATCAAATGGGTAATTGATGAATTTTGGATCAAATGGAATATCTGGCAATGTGTTGCAGTACTTCACCCTACTCACTAGGTCAGATCTGTGGAAAGATATAATAAAATTTATTCAGCAAATTTTGTATCTGTAGGCAAAGGCATTGTGGCAATTTCTGTGAGTGAAATTAAGATATATAAATTGAAGATGCATTACATTATATACACTTCTTCACAGAAAGAAATATTGTTTACACTCTATTTTAAAAATAAAATAATAAAAGGAAACAGAAAAAACAGCATATGGGCTCTATAACGGACTACCAGAGATTACACTAAGGTCAAACACTTGCCTTCTAATCTGTATTTGTTCCTGTGGGGGGAGGCTTGCGAGGAAAGAGATATTGCTTAAATTGACACATCCACTGACATTCTGATCCACCCTTTTATCATGGCATTCCCAAATTATATTTTACGAACTTTCTTAGTATATATCATGTTCTCCCCAACCTTCTGGCCTATAACAATATAGCTTATCACTGATACAACAGTAGTATAAATGGACAGTATGCACAATAATTAAACTATCAATACTAGGTTAGTATCAATGCAAAGACCTTCCAGTAACATTTACCTGAAATCTTCTATTGAAAGCAACAAATATATTCTAACACCGCAAATGGAATAATATAAAAGAGAAACATATAAGCTATAAATATAAATAGAGGAAGTGATTGCTGTACTATCATAATAAACCAACAATCTTGGCTTGCTTGTTGTGACTGCAAATTTTCATCCATAATCCTTTGATGCTGGTTAGAATGAAAATATTGTTCATAATCTTTTTTCAGGGGAAAAAAAAAAAAAAAAAAAAATTGGGCAAGGGGTAATGTCAGTGACAAATAGTCTGATACAAAAACAGTGCAGGAAAGAGGTTTTGACAAGACAAATAGATGAAAAAGATACTTTTCCTACCTAATCCCCTAGCCTTGTAAACTGTTCTAACCATACAACATATATAACTGCTTAGCCAATGGTGTGGATGAAGGATACAGTGTGAAGTGGAGACTGAACAATGATATTAGTCATAAAATAATATAGTTACTTTATACCATTGGATCCGGCTGTGTCACTGAAATCAGAGTGCCAAAAACACGAGCAGTGGGTTACATAAGTATAACTAGCCAACACCCTGGGCATGCATAGGCCAGTCACGCACTAACACCCATGAGCAGTGACAAGACTCTATACCTTCCCTTTGCAAAGTTTTTATTTTTTCTATTATTTTTTACCTTTTATCTATTTATTTATTTTCTTTTATAGCCCTTTGGACATTTTCCAATGTCCACATTTGTCCTTTGATTTGCTTTATCCAGATGGTAATAGCTTATTTTCCTTGCACAAGCTCATCATCATCTCTGTATCTAATAAATAACTCAGAAAAAAAGAAAGGCACTTTTGTGTCATATATCTAATTTTTCGTTCTATTCTACATAAGACAACCTTTGCCATCGATCAAAGCGGCCAGGAATACGGTGCGCAGCAGGGAAATGGTGTCCTTCCTGGAGCCAGCGCTCTCGCAGTCACTGCTTGCGCATGTTACATTCCACATTTGTTAATCAAAAGGAATAATTTAAAGCCCCCTTCTAAGCACCTAACGAGTTGAATCACACTCCAAGAGGTTGGTGCACTAGTGGCAAGTCTTTTCTGTCACCCCGGCCTTCCCTCATGACTACTAGTTCATGTCACCTGGCCCGTGGCCCTTTTCCCTGATAATGGCATATTCACACCACCTAGCCGTTGACCCAGATTTTTCCACGACAGGACCATAACATAATCCGGATTGTGGGGATTAGGAATAATTTGCTGTCTGTAAACCACACACCACACCTAAATTTACACCTGAATTAAGAATCTGATTTTGTTATTCGCTTGACATTTTGCATATAAATGGTGAAACAGTTCTTTCTGCACCCTATAAACAGCCTAGTCATGATGGAACTAGTTGCCAGTGTCTATTGTCACGACACGGCTAAGTACAATTCCACTGGCTCATCTAATATCCCTAAGGCTAGAATTCTGTCTTGGTTATTTTCATTTTCTCTTATCATTGGAAGAGTATCTAACACAGAGTGCCTGGAAATCTTGAATCTTACATCCTCTATATCAACCTTTTGTCTTTGTGAAGAAAATGTGCCAATTCTTTATAAAATGGATGAGCACGCCTGAGACTATGTACCTAACTCCACACAACCTTTATTCAATATTCTAAATTGCCATGAATAGGGCATGGCAAATATTGTCTTCACCATGGCATGCACAGCAAGATAGGGGTGAAACTTGAGAGGACCGAGCGGAATTAGGCTGTGAGTGGAGCTTTCTGCGATGTTTTTCCTTCACTTGTGGAGTTGATCATTTGTGTCTGTATATTATTTTTTGTGCCAACAAATGCAAATATTTGTCCTTTACAAGAATATCATCTTCAATTCTCCCTAGCTTAGTGCATTCATATAGAAAAGATTGAACAAAAATGTTACAGAAGGGTTTTAGAATGTTATGCTCGATTGGATGGCAAAGTCAGATTCTTCTGTTTTGTTGTATGGTGTTTTTTTCCATTAATACTCAATTATTTTAGAAACTTCCAACTTCACAATGAGAGGAATTTGGTAACACATGATGGTGCCAAAATGTCCCATATGAATGCACACTTTTTTCACTTATATACTATAAACTGTATTATATGAAATTGATATAAAGTTCTTTTCAAAATACTGCGCACACCTATCTCAATAGA